TTAAAGATAACGCTCTAGTGCAAAGTGGCCCACTCGCTTAGGTGGCCCGCTCGCTTATAAACCACGTTATCCCAAAACCAAAACGAATCGACCACACCATTCAAATGCGCCATAAAAATGCAATGCCTACTTCCATACCGTACATAATCCTCATATATCACTATGCTGAGTCGATTCTCTTATCCGATCCTCCTACAATCATAAACGTATGGTATCCTTAGATACGTATCCCAGTCACCCCACACCCAAACGAACATGCCATCTGATCCACCATGGTTCCCGCCTTGTGCCAACCCCCATTTATCACCACACCACTCTCTCAATTTCGTCCTCAAAACCCCTGCGCTCACCCCTTCTCCTCCCGCAAAGCCTCTCTGCAACATAAGCACTGCACCACAGTCCTCCACAAATGCCATTCCCTCTTTGTCCTCATACGCATCCATTAACCTCACCACGCGATCCCCTTTCCAAAACACATCTCACCTCATCCCCACAGCTAGCACGTCACATCCTCAAGTCTAGACAACTCATATGTCAAGACGCACTTGATAAGTCGTATTTTATGCAGCATAGCTCTCGACGTAAGAAGAAGAATATCAGCACTAGACATCAAATTGTTTTCAAAGAAGTATACAAAACATAGGTTCTGTTTAAGTAATGAGAGTATAGAAGAAGATAATAGCAAAAAGGGTAGATTGAGAGCAGGACAGCAAAGTGATAATAATAGTTCAGGAAAATGAATTTTCAAGTACAAAGCTCACAACAAACAGGCTTCAATCTGTTAACTCTATTCCTTCATGGTCTCGTTCTTTGATTTCTTCATTTGACTTCCCTATAAACACAACTGTAGAGAGTACTAATGAAGAACCAACGAGAGACATGATGTCCGGCGAAGTGTCCCAAATCAATGCATCTGCTGCAACAGATAAAACTACTTGCAAACACAGCATGTATACCGCGTTGCCATCTTTTTCAAAAGTCAATCCTTGCGTGAGGAAAAATTCCTAAACCTGTTAATCTGCTTCTGGCTCAATTAGAGAAACGTACCATGAGAGCACCAAAAGCTCCAATTAAAAGGTGCACCAGAATGGGTAGGAAGCTGAGGTTCCATGTGTATTTAACACTGGGGATAGTGATGAAACAGAAGCTACTGGTCAGTAATACACCTATTGCAAAGCAGTTGGTGATTGCCAAGGGGTGAGCTCTTCGGCCGATGGCTGAGATGGAGGAATATGCTATCTAGGAGATGGAATTAGTGGAAACTCTGCCGCGTTTTGTGCATGAATATAGATGTACCACTCCACCAAGAACGCCTGTGAACGCAAATATCAAGCCAATACGGGAGTCAGATTGGTCTGTCTCATTGACGTGAGAGAGCAAGTCCATAGCGAAACTTGGTTTGGTAATTAAGCCAACACCAAGGATACAGATCACCACTGAAGCGATGCGCGTAAAGTCTATCCTCTTACTAAGAAGGAGGCTAGATCCTAGAGGTGCAAGGAGATTTATGACAGTCGCATCGCCCAGCGACAAGTATCGCAAAGAGTCTTTCAATGTAAGTCTCACGGATGGCAAAAAGTACATGAGTCTGAGAGTTCATCATACTTACAATAAAATCCAAATGAGCCACATATTCCGCCCAGCACTCGAGTGGCTAGTAAACCTCCGATTGAACAACTGCCAAGTGGAAGCTCAAGGGGTGACCAAGCAAGGAGGGAAAGAGAGTTCAAGCCAAGAGTGATGAACATTCGGACCTGAAGAATCTGCAATGGTTCCACATCGCCAGTTGTCTCTAGAAATTTAGCAAGGCTATGGATGATGACCGCGAAGACTTGAGATGCGAGAACTAGCCAAGAGCCTGTACTGATTGTAATGAACATCTTAGAATATGTTGCGATGAGGTGTCCTGGAAGACAGTAGTTTGGTAGCATGTAAAACTTCAATAGAAACGGTCTATATATGTGCTGAACTATCGAAAGCCAATGAGGATGATGCGCGCAGAATTCTCTAGTGTTCGAGGATTTTCAGTTCAACATGTCAAAATAAAGCTGCCTAAACTGCACGATAGATGATGATAGTTCATGGCATATTAACACTGCACAAGTGAATGTTTGACCTGCTCAGAGTTATTTTCCACAACATAAAATTGCGCAAATACTCAGAAGATGTTTTGAGGTAGAGATATAACACATTAAAATTGACCTATGAACTATAGGCGCCATAATTGTCGCAGAATTACAGCAGACAGTCTGTGCAAAGATCAGGGTGTGCTTATGCAATTCGAGGTTCTAGAAGGGGACCCTTGAAGCAGCACTTGAAACCTTTATGACAAAGAGCTGAATCAGGAAGGTATTGCGCGCGAAAGATGTCCTGAGATATGTTCAGATCTGTTATTTATTGTGTCGATAATTTTATTTCAGATAGCAGTCTACGAATGGGCGCTGTCTGGAGCAATGAAAGCCTCGAATTGTTAAAGGCGTGCGAAGCTCACAGGCTGAAGATGAGCTGGCATATCGCACTACAAACGTAAATAATTTGATCGCATCCGAAGCCCGGATAAATCGGCAAGTCCCGAATTTGGGCCGAAAGGAGTTGCATGACATAGAATAAGACGCAGCAAGGTTGATCAAGACAGGGGCACGACAGAATGAGGAAGCTGAAGATTGGTATTGACTGCGCTACAGCTACTCCATTCTCTCCGCACCACACCCTATAACCAACCAACCTATTCGGAATCGAGTTTTGACATATTGGCTGCAAGCTTCCCTATGATTAGTCAGAAACCGAGTGTTCAATTGAAGATAGGATACTGCATACGTTGAAATTTTCCTATTGGTGGTGTATGAAGCGCTACTAGAGCAGCTTACTCGGGGGACTTGAAACACGACTTAGCTTTTCCTGAACATCCTAAGGTGGAGTGACCCGGTACTTACACCGAAGCAGCCGGCATCGCTGCCCTCAGAGCAGCTGTAGCAACCGGATCCACCAGGGCATCCGCAGCAAAGGCCATCGTAATTGCAGACGTTGTCGCAGTTCGCACGAGACTGCAAAGAAGGACTGGCAGCGACGAACGCCGTCAACGTGGCGAAGAGGAAAGCGACGGATAACCTCATATTGAAGGATAAGTAGGTTAGTTGGATTGTTTGGAAAGTGGAACTGTTGTTAAAGCTGAAGGTTGTGTATTGTGTGATATTCTTTTGGAGGGTTATTTGAGGCCTTCTTATAGATTTATCTTGATGTAGCCTCAGACTTACGCATTGTATTCGACCGCGCTAGGCATTTTGTTTGAAAGGGCATTTTCTACCTGAAAGACGTGCTCGAGCTTCAATCTGATTTGTCTCAGAGTATGGCACAGAGACCTCCGAAAGATAACGTTCAGCATTTCTAGAATAGTTATTCATACATAGTGAGCGATAACGCGTACCGATATAGGTGAGGAATTATTGCACCAATTGCACATGCTGGGGACAAGTCACTAACGCATAACCTGAGGAAAAGATACAGGGATGCATGTCGGTTCAAGCTTTTCTAGTTACCTAGTGACGGAGAGCAGAAAAGGCTAGGACGTAGAATGAGTGGAGCATGGAACTAGAATGTTGCAACATTCGTTGGTGACCATGACTTAACGTTATGAAATCGGATAGTTATCATTTGATCACAAAAACTATAAGTGTCCAAAACTTTCCATATTCCACTTTCTGTTAATACTTTTGAGTTACCAGGGAACTCAAGGTAGTGTGAACGAATCTGAGTCCCTAGATGGATTTGCTAAGTCACAATCGTGATAGCTACTGTGATAGAACGATGACAAGCGACACAAGCACCTTGGAGTTTTATGCTAGTGGTACGTCAGCGTCGATCTGCTGGGCAGTTTGAGAGCGTTTTAACGTGATTGGATGATCAGTGATAAAGGGGTAGCTAAGTTGCAGCGCTGACACGTCGCGCTTGGTTTCATGTCAATTCATCCATGGTGAATCGGCAGATACTAATTGCCAGGCTCTGACACACTCTACAACATATGAAAGGCTTGCTTGTAGCTTATGTACGTGTAGAAAAAAGCATGCCTATTGTGTTCCTCTTCAATTGTTGTAAGATTTTCCTTGTTCCATTGTACAGGGAACAAGGGCGCGACAGCTCCTGCAGGATCAAGGGGTTTGAAAAATAGCTAATAGGACTTCCTGACTGTACTCTTGAGAAAGAAACGAGTTGAATCATTATGTAGGATAGAAGCAGGGCTCATTTCTGTATGTCTTGTTGATAGGAAGCAATGCGCGACCAATTATAATAAAGTTGATTGTTCCCACTTCTTTTCACGCGTCCAGATGTTCAATCCTATCTTCGTGCCATTTAATGGAGGCAGTCCAGCATGTAACGTTTCTCTAACACCGTTGCTAGACGCATCAATATTCTTCCAAAAGAGAGCATTGCCAGGAATAGGCCGAACTGTAATGCCTCCAGTATTGTTACAATCAACGAACTCGCACCACCTAGAGTCTTCTTTTGACCAATCTACAGACAGATTAGGAAACTGAGTACCACATTCGTCGCAATCTGCATCTAAGATAGCAAATATTGTGGTTATTCTTTGGGATTCGTTCTCGGGCACGGGGACATCTTGGTAATGATCCCAGTGGGCCATATAGTACTGGCCTGGATTATATTTGGTCAATTGTAGAGTTTCGATATTTACTTCGGGAGTATAGCCCTGGAGAGTTGAAGCCCGGGTTACAATACGTTGTACAATAGGATCGTCAGTGGGGAGCCGAGCCGTGTCGCTTGTGCGCCGTTGGGATATAATTTTGGTTCCATTTGGCAGGTTGATTTTGGAGCTATTATACCGATGCTCTCTAAGCTCTGATTAGCAAAGTCTATATACCAGAAAACGGGCAGAGCAAATGTACCCAAGTCTGAGCAGATGCGTGCGTTCAGAGTCTGTAATAAATCCTTCAAGATGTATCAATAGCGGATCGAAAGAGAGGACTCGCATGGAGTATTTGTGTACTGGACGACCATTGTAGATTGAAGAGGAGAGGCTTGGCCATATATAAGAGATTGAAAGACCCACGAGTATGGCGAAAAGTGAAATGCCATACGGTTGAGTAAGCTTCTGGAAAGTAACCATTCTTGTGCCGCTTGTGAGAAATGTTGGAGTATGTTCCCAGTACAGATGTTGATACGAGGTTAATTGCGCAGGCTTTGCCCCATTATATGTATTCTTTGGATGAAATAAGATCTACCTTAAGATCCCACAGAAAGCATGCACGTGAATGGGTCAGCCGCACATATCCCTTCATCCGCTGTCAGGATACCAAAATCGAAACTGAACCCCAAAGATTTGGAACAAGACCCTAGCGCACCGAGATAAAACCCTATAACACCGACAAAGGACCTCGACGTACCGACATGCTGTACTATGTAGGATACCAGCGAACCGAGATAGGCCCCACCGGACCGGGCCGATATATAGCCCTCGCAAACCTCAGAACTAAGTCAAGTATTATATACTTACTGCATCTGCTTAGCAGAGAGAGGCATGTAGCAGCAATAGTAGCAGTAGATTTATGCAAAGCGGTAGAATTGTTTGGAGTGAGTGTCAGTATGGAATGGAAGTTCGCATTGTAGCTACAGTCCTTCGGAAGTGCCGGAAGATTAATGCCTCATCATCCATGCCCAGCTTTGGCCATACCGACCTCGTATTGACTTTACGGAAGTATAAGTATACGCACCTTATGTTCTAGATCTACTTCGGCCAACTACCCCACAGGGATCAAGGGTACCTTACTAGGGGAAAAGGACAAACTCCCTAGTAGGGACATCCAGGGACTCCGCAATATCGTTATCTCAATTAGATCTACCAATAGAAGGTAACTTTAGCGCTACATCTAGAGTAGGGATGTACGTGTGTACATACTACTTAAAGATAGAGCGCATTCTATACGATCCTGTAGGGATACAGATAGCTGTGAACTAGGCAGGGCCAGAGTCATGCAAATGGTAATGGCTCCAGATAATTTGCCTCACTGGACCCGTTTGTTGCGCATCTTATCAGAATGGAGATAGTCATGTACCGATAATTCCTCCATTCATACCATAAAATTGGTGAAACGTGGGCCCAGTTGCCACTCCTTCGGTCCTATTCTAGAAGCGATATGCACTACTTCATTGAGGGGGTTTATGCTCCGTTCATCTGATTTCCTGTGAAAACCCGAATTCGAGAGAAAAGAATAAGCTTTGAGCGCAGACTGGAGCTAAGACCAATCTAGTAGACTTGACATTCTTCATTCTTACATGGGGCTAGTTTGTGTTTGCTAACTATTAAGTCGGGCTGCTTCATGAAGTTAGATATCTAACAACTTATTTTGTTGTTGATTATGTTCGTTTGGTGTCGGATTGCCCAACTTCAGGGTCGGGGATCAACAACTCCGTTGCTCTCTCGACGTCCAACGACAGAGTGTTTTGAGCGGCACAATAGGTTCTAGCATCTCACCGAAGCCTTCGACTACCCTGACAGAACTGAGTCGTCTCCCTTGTGACCAAACAAAATGATATACAACGCTACATGGCACAAGTTATGTGTGTAAGGGCGCGCTAAAATGAAGATCAGGCTCTTCTTCGGACGACA